ATGGATGGATGGATGGATGGATGGATGGATGGATGGATGGATGGATGGATGGATGGATGGATGGTTATACAGTCGTATACAGGAACAACTTACTTAATTGATGATGGGCTTTTCAGTAACTGGTGTTTTGATTTGTTTGTTTCTGTTTTGTTTGGGTTTTGGTGGTTTGGGTTTGTTTTGTTGTTTTGGTTTTGGGTGTTGTTGTGGTTTTTTGGGAGGGAGGGGGATGTGGTTGCTTTCTCATGTTTTATTCTATTTATTTTATTCTATTTTATTTATTATTGGTGGGTGTACAAGTTTGGACTAGGAAGAGACTTTTCGCTTAATACGAAGTTGGCTTTAAAAACGGGGCCCATGGCGTGTAAAGTTAAAGACTCGAAAGGGCCAGACATAAACAGACCAAATAATCCACCTATTACTTATGGCCCGGGTGAGGAAACGACTTTAGAAACTAGGAAGGGAAGCCCAACTTCGGATTTCCATGAAGGCAGCGCCGGAAGTGAACGCGGTTCCAAACGACACAGCACCACCAATGGCGAACTTTCCAACAATCAAGACAACGTGGATTCCCACAGTGAGCTCAGTGAGGAGAATCAAATGTTTCTCAACGATGATGACGAGGAAGAGGACGGTTTTCATGGAGGTGGACCGAACGGTCAGAATTATTTGTTTTCCACATATGGTTTTAATCCTGGACGGAGCCCCATTCCTTTGGAAACTCGAATACGTCGGGCGAAAATTGTGCAAGAAATTCTGGCCCAGTTTGATCTGGAGTCGGTTATGAACAGATATCGAGGCAATGTTATCAATGGCTCCTACAGCCGAAGGTGAATACTGAGGTGGGGACTAAGCGTGTTTCACAAACTGTTTTGTGGTAGTGCGTTGTAATGTGTGGTTCTTGCATTTTAAAGACGGATTGGTTTGTCAGTGTACAATATTATGTTTGTGTTTCTCTGTGTGTTTGAGAGAGAGAGAGAGAGAGAGAGAGAGAGAGAGAGAGAGAGAGAGAGAGAGAGAGAGAGAGAGAGAGAGTGTGTGTGTGAATGAGTGAGAGCGTACATGTGCGAGTGCAGCTGTGTGCATGAATTTGTGTATATGTGAGTAAGTACGCACATCTGTGTGTGTGAGTGAGTACGCACATTTATATGTGAATGTGTGTGTGCGTGTGTGTGTGTGTGTGTGTGTGTGTGT